TCTCCTCTGAGAAGAGCTTGTCCCCCACTCTCATGCATTTCATCTGGGTTTTACGATTTGTTGTCCCAGAACAGTAGTGCAGTGGTATGTGGATTGAAATTCAGTCTTGTAAGTGGCTGGGATTGATCCATTAATTTGGCTATTAGGATTATAGCCTTTAATGGGCATCAGAAATTGCCTGGGATCCAGTAGCCAGCCTTGAGGATGGATCATATGTGCCCATGGTAACCTAAAATGTGTGGGATGGCAGCCAGGTGCTATCCCAGCTGGAGCCAGTGCTGCCTCAAGCCTGATAGTTTCTCCCTACTTCTGGTTGCTATGCACTCGGGATCCCACTCAGCTGAGCACTTTCATTATAGCATATTCTGCCCTGCCCCTTCAGCTCAACAGTCACAGTGTGAGTCTTTCAGCCTGTGTTGCTTCCCTGCCAGCCAAAGGGCTAGGGCTAGTAATGACAAATTAAACAAGCTTCTCTTCTCAAATTAAAAGGAAAATAAAAGGGACGAGACTAGTAGGTTTCTCAAAGGAAAATTAAGTGGCAGGGCTCTTGGGGGGAGGAGGGGCGGTGGCGGGAGGGAGATTGAAGGAAGTAGGGATGGTGGGGATGTTGTAGCCCCTCCTCCTGTGTGTGGGGTTTTTATTTATTTATTTATTTTGCTCCACTACAGCCCCACACATGGGATCCTGGTTGTTTTCTATGCTCCTGGCCCCACAGTTATGTTCCTGGCCCCACACTCAATCCAAGCTGCAAGCCCCATACTTGGGGTCCTGGTTGCAACCCTAGCCTCAGTAACCTTACTCTACCTGGGTCCCCCCTCTTGGAGACATAGCCATACTCATGGATAAGGGGGATGGCTTTCAGTACTTCCATTGTTAGGTGTTCAAGTGTCACTGCTGACCCCTCTCCCGCAGTGTGGCACTCACACTTCCCCGGAACATCGCAGCCTCTCAGGACCAGTCTACACCGCAAATGCTTTGCTAGAAGAGCTATATTTGCAAGTCTCTTAGACACAGTTTATGACAACAGAAGGAGATTTTCTGTCAATGTAGTAACACCACTTCCCACTTCCTTCTGTCAGCATAGTTGCATCTGTGCTGTTTTTTTTTTTTTTTTTTTTTGCCAGTATAACTGTATTGGCTGCAGGTATGCTGCTAGCACAGCAAGGCTGTAGGTGTAAGCATAGCTGAAAACCAAACCAGCTCACCCATATGTTTTGGTCAAAATAGATATTGGGGTTATAAAGTATTTAGTGTTTAGATTCTCTGAAATGCTTGTAAGCTGCTGTGTGCTTTTATCTCTGCTATAATGTCTGCATTCCACTCTATAAAAATATAAAAGTTTTGCTTTATAGTACTGAAAATGTTTGTTCTGACCTTGTGAACCCTGGTACAGGAATTGTCCCTTCTGCCCATTCAGGAGACCTGTCAAGAATAAACCAGCTACAAGGAACATTGTGAAACAAAGGATTGGTGAATTGCCATATCACCCCTTGGAAATACTGTATAAGGGAGCAGAGCTCATAGACTGGAAGGTCAAATGGAAAAGATAAGATAGGGTCACAGGAGAATTTTCCATCTGTTTGCCACGTGAACTCACACAGAGCCAAAGACGCTAAACAAAGCCAGAGATCCCCAGGGGTTATCTGTGGGTCCACCCTGTAAGACATGTTGAATCAACAAATTACTACATCTGTCATCTTTAGTAACCTGAGAAGTCATTTCATTTGTGTGTTTACTTGCTTGCTTTAGCCTGTAAATAACGTCTCCCCTTAGTTAATAAACCTTTAGATAGTTTATTAGGGGATTGCCTGTAGGCATTGTCTTTGGTTTGATATCTAAGAAACAAAATTGATCTGGAGTGACTGATCTCTTAGGACGAGAAGCAACCTGCATGTTTTGTGAGTTTTGGTGTAAGTGACCATTTATCACTAAGTCCAGTTTGTCTGAGGAAAAAGTAGACTGGAGAGCCTAAGGGACCTGGCTATGACTCCATGGTAAGATTGTTACAGTGAAATAGGCGTTCTCATTTGTTCCTGGGTTGCTGAAATCTAATTATAGAATATACCACCAGTTTGAGGTGCTTGCCTTGAGGTAGGTTGTAAGCTATTCCAGACAGCAGACGGTAGGTGTGGGTTTTTCTCCATGTTCATGATGGACGTAGCTATGTCAACAAAATTTGTAGTGTAAGAGTTTGCCTGACAGTGCTTCATTTGCTCCACTAAGAGCCCTAGATTAAAAAGTAGTCTCATGAATTCGGATCTTTGTCTTCATTTGCTTTCAGTCAGCCAGCCTGCAGACTTCTGTTCTAGCTCCCTGTAAGCCTGTGGGGTGATGATCAGTGATACTGATTTTGTAGCATTCGTATTTTTAGTAGTGTCCTTGAACCAAATTTTTACGTTGTCAAAACTACTGGCAAATCATTCATTTGGGTTTTTAAGTCTGCAATCGCTGTTGAATCCCTTTGACCTCTTTTAGGTTGCTCATCTCTGGCATTCAGCTTCATTTTTCTTCCTCATCATTCATATATTTCAATTGCCTTTTCCCTTTCTCATATTTTCAGCCCCAGTCAGCTATGTATTTTAAAGCACTGGGTTATATTTAGTATATACTCTCCCTCTGGTATAAGAAATCTCATTATGCTTATTATGGAATATTGTTATCTTACTTTAACTCACTTGTGCATTACACTTGCCAGAGACAAATAAGGCCTAATATCATGGTGTGCGGTTATTTCTTTTAGAGTTTAGCTCATTGGCTATGTCACTTCCTCATTTGAAATCCTTATTGAATAAAGCAACAGTGGTATTTTATTTGTATCTATGGGCTTTCATTGTAACATACATAGAAACAGACAGTTAAACAGTAAGAACAATGTTAAACAGTGACTCCAATATACATTAACATATTCCCTAAGATTTCTAGCATCAGAATTTCAAGCTTCGTAGGGCCTATAGAAGGGTGAAACTAATCTGTCTTGCCCAGATTTGGAGCCTTCCAGAGCTTGAAATGATGGTGATCTTGTCAGCCCAGAAGACCTGCTTTCTTGACTTTCTAGTTAGGTGAGTGAACATTGCCACCTTTCTGATGATACTAAGCATTGCCTTTATTGGCAAGAAGACTTGATTTGTAAATAACATTTCCACTCCATGGAGCATGTGCAGGGCTGTCAGCATCCAGAATCCGCAGCAGAGGGAGACGATGGAGTCAGGGCCAGAGGAAAGAGGAATAGATAAAGGGAAAAAATGGGATTAGGATGTTCATTACCTTCTTCCTAATCCCAGGGAAATTAAGCTTCAGAGAGGTAGCCAAGTTAGTCTGTAACAGGAAAAACTTAAAAAACAACAAATAATCTAGTAGCACTTTAAAGACTAACAAAACATGTAGATGTTATATTGAGTTGGAATAATTAATACAGCCCTAGACTGCATCAGTTTATTTGTGGCTCGCCAAAGAGTGTCTGGGGCTGTCATGGCTGCTGAGGAAAGGCTCCAGCAATGTAGCTTCAATAGCAGGGAGGCCACTAAATGCCAGAGCCAAATTGTGTGTTCGGATATTGATGATCGTTATGACAAAGCAAATATTTCCTCATAGAAAGGTGTTGATGCTTTCAATATGGGAAGGAACAAACAACCTGTCTCTCTCTGACTGATGCCGCATGGCTTTTTGCATTGCTTCTCCTTGCTTTTGGGAAGACTTTTTTTTTAAACCACATTTAATCTAATGGACAATTTTGAGGGAGCATTTGTTCTTCTGACGTTCATTATTGAACCAGGATCTCCTATCTTTTAATTCCTTGAAAAGGAGGGAAATAAGCAGAAAAACAACAGTATTATTTTGGCAGACTTAGTTTGATTTCATTTTGTACATGAACTGACACTCCTATATTTGATCATGTTTCTGTTGAAAATTGATTTATATATACCAAAACCGGACAAAACTAGAAGAATTTTTTCCAGCAAAATATATTTACATATTTTAGCGTATTCCCTTGAAGGGCAAAAATTGCCAAGGAAACAAACTCTAGATGAGTTCAATGTGAGCAAATTTCTGAGGTGATTTCTTTGGTTAGATTTCTTTGATTCCCATTTCCAAATAGAGAATTCTATGGTTCTGAAAAAAATGTTTATAAAATAAAAATATTCACAGGCTCTTCACAGCTGCCTAGCTGAGATTTGTCTGTTAGGATTATACTGGTAGAGATGAGCTTGTTTGTGGTGTTTTAGTTATTTAAAAATCTCTGAAGTGGTTCATTGTAAGATGTTGAAGAGGCTGTTTTTCATTTTGCTAATAGGAAACAGGAAAAAAGCTTTTTTATATTTAGAAGCAGCCCTTTTGGGTGAAGCAGAATGTTAGTTTCTGCTAATCAGTTTTCAAGTGGCAAATTATTTTTTCTATACATAGCATTTTTGGGATAAATGAAAACATCGGGGTAGCATTTCAAAGTGCATGTGTGTGCACCTGACTTGTGCACATGCAAGCTGTGATGCTTGTGCAGCCCTGGTGTGTATACAAGTCAGGACTGTGTGTATGCTAGATACTCAGAGACAGCTGCTGTCCATGGCAGGATACAGATTTATTTTCAAAGAAAATAAATGCACTAAGGTGTTAGTCTAACAAAGCATATACTCAGCGTCTTAGTAGCCTATTGGCTTCAATGAGCTTAAATTTATACCCTGTAAATCCTTTGCTGAACTGATGCCTGAAGTAGTAGTTATGGGAGTCTGAGTTTTATACAGAACAATATGAATGTTTGTTCATAACAGCTTGCCCTAGGTTACCAGCTGTTGCACTTTTCAGTGCATGTTATCACAAGAACCTGATAACTTTCAGTGCAGTTTCTTTTTTGAACTGGGCTCTTCTATACATCAAGGCTCCATTCCTGATACAGGCAGTCCCCGAGTTACGCAGATCTGACTTACCCCAGCTGCTCTGCCCCAGGCGTCCCCAAGTCAGCCGCTGCTGAAACTGACCAGCGGCTGAATCTGGACACCAGTTCCGACTTACATACAGATTCGACTTAAGAACAAACCTACAGTCCCTATCTTGTACGTAACCTGGGGACTGCCTGTACTTCTAAAACCTATTTAAACGTGTGCTGCAGTTTAATAAAGAATTCTGGTTATTGCTACTGGAAATTGAGTAAGGGTTTAGTAACAGTAGAATTCCAGACACCTTCTTCTCTAGCATATTGACATTAATATTGAGTATGCAGTCATTACATTGTGACTACGTATTTTATGTCTCATTTTCGAAGCAATGTTTTATCAGATTAAGTCACATAAGAAGAATAGCGTTATATATTTATCATGGTAATGAATCCCATGTTCAATCAAGGAGTGCATCAAATTAAATAGTTTAAATGTTCATAATATGAATTGAATTACAATATAAAGGCCTCTTGCACATCCCTATTCAAATTTTCATGTAGAGTTATCAGACACTGTTTCCCAGTATCCCTTATGGCTAAATACAGAATCTTGTTATGTATCAGTATTTCACCGGTACAAAGCATACTTTAAAATTAGGAAACAAGAATGATTTAAAAATGCAGCGGAGAGTAATAGATTATGGACCCTTTTACCACTACTAAAGGTTTTTGATTGCTCAAATCAATAAAGCTAAAATAATCTAATTGGGTATTCTCAGTCAGCCCCAGTGGATATTTGTGCACCCCACAAAACACTGATGTGCCTTTGTTGATAATCTCAGCATGAAGAGCAAGGACTGAAAAAGCAGTTATCTTTCCAAAGTAAGTCTCAAGGAATATTGGCATGCCAGCATGGAAGATCTTTCCAAAAGTTCCTAGTTTATGGTTAAGCAGAAGACATCAGGTTAAGTCTCTGATGGATCCCATTTAATGAAACATGGACACACCCACAATGAATCAAATGGGGAAGAATCACAGAGGGTGTGTATGAGAACAGACCATTTGTTAAACAGAGTTTGTGCCATTTCCAACTGTGGGGAAGAAGGAGGGAAAACTAGCTTAATACCTTTCTGATACTATTGCAAGGATTTAATTATTTCCATCTTAAATCTAAGACTCTCCAGGCCTAACTGGAATCATTGTATTCTAAGGAATACATGAGGACACTTACATGGTACTGGTAAAGGTTAAAGGCAGTGTCCCTAGCTACTGAATTCATGAATGCGCTATAGGACCCACTGCTGTATGTACACTGTCATGCAATGTTCAGCTTGTCCCTAGGTGCTCATCTCTCCATGTGCTGTGAGGAACTCCTCAACACTACCTACCTTGTGCCCCTCAGTGCACAACTGCAGCCTCCTTTGGGCCACTCAGGGCATAACACCATGCGACTTCATCTTCTCTCTATCCCTAACCAACCAAACAATAGAGAAGGTGCAAACAGTTCTTAAGAACCTATCAGCTTCATGTAACATGAACACTCTAACTCACTATTTCCCCCACTTCATTCTCCCCACCCTGTCTCCTATTTATTTTGGAACTGGCCTTTTAATACTCCATTCATCTGAAGAAGTGGGTTTTACCCACGAGAGTTCATGATACCATCTACGTTTTGTTAGTCTCTAAGGTGCTGCTAGACCATTCGTTGTTTTTTTAAGTTTTTGCAGCAAAGATGTACAGCTTCCAGCCCCCCACTTCAGCTACATGGGGAGTTCCAAAGCCACTGCTTTTCCTTGAGACTGAATACAGAATAATTTCCTGCTCCCTTCCCCCACTCTTGGGGACTAACATCCTTTGAAGCCCCTTGATTAGGGAAAACAAAATGCCAATTTAAGTTTTCTGATGGTTCAGAAAAGCACATAGGACTTCTGTGTTAAATTTATGCTTAGAGCAGCTGGTGTTGTATTAAATCCAATCAGCAATTAATTAGCCTGGACAAGAATGACTAAAACTGGATTATATTTAAGTTTGTGTTTGTTTCCATTTGTGAGGGAATCAAAACCCATTCAGCTTTCTGATAATTCATGGTTTCGTTGGGATGACTTGATTTTTCCGCCCCCACTCCCTATGGCTCAGAAATGTCTCCCTTTGTTAAGAATGACCTTGTTAAAAACTTTCCCTCATGGTTTAACTTTCATGCAATTTGATAAGCAACTTATGCTGCATCTGAGCTAAAAGTCCTGTGCTGAGAAGATACAGAGCCAGACTTTTAATGTTAGAGACATGCCCCTGTGCCCATGCATTTGCAATAACCAATTTATATGTGCAAATGCCTGATACTGGTACATCATGATCTGTTAGGTGCGTGACTGACCATGTGTGAATTCACATGCTGAATTTATGCAGACAGAACTGGGATTTCCATATCTAAATCTTTCTCTCATTTGTCTATCTAGGTTTTACCATCACTGCAAATATCTAAGTGCCAAATGTGTGTGATTATGTACACCTTACTTTGAAAAAATCTTACCTTAAAAAGTAAACTTTCACAGTGCTTTTGTGTGTGTATATATAATATGCACACAGACACGCTCTCTCACTCATGCCCCGCCAAACAAAATAAACACCTGAGACACTAACATCAAAATATAAACTTTGTATGTTGTTGTGCACAAACATTCCTAAATTGTTCCCATCATGCAAGCTATGTATAAAAACTTATTGTCAAGCTTTAGAAACAAGTGCATCGTGGGATAAGTATAAGTGCTGTATGTCATAGTGGTCGTGGTCACTCAAAATAATAGTAAAAAGTCCTGTTTTTGACTTTTTAGCTTGAACAGCTTATATAACTATGCATAGTATTTGTGATCTGGATTAACTCTCTGCAACTCAAGGTCTGACACTTATTTTTGCTGATGTTTCCATTGGACTGGCTGTCTAAAAAATGCCAAATGCTATAAGCATTAGGGGTGAGTCCCAACGCTTGGTAAAAAGAAAGCAAATGCCCAAAGTTTTCTTTTGTACAAAATAAATTTTCACCTGTCCCATAGGTGACATGTCTGCCTGGGAGAAACTTTTTACAAAGTTCCATGATCATCTGAACATGATCATGTTAATCAATATTTCTCCTCACCACATGATTTAATTAACAAATAACAGTCCGAAGCCTTTGTGTGTGTATGTTCACGAGAAGTAATTTGTAATATGCCTGTAACAGACAGTGCCATCAATTTCATTAATAAAAATTGCCACTGTCAAAAAATTAAATTTGGTTGTACTACATATAGATGATGATGATAAATTATCATTTCTTCAGGCGCCAGGAGCTATATTTGACAAGGGTTTGATTCTCTTCAATTTATGCTTTTAATACATTTTCTAGCTTCTTACCAACACTGCATAGTAAGTTTGGCTTATATTCCTTCATGTTCCATGCATTTCTTGTGATTATATTTGCACTGCTCATGCCAATGAATTCAACTGGGCTTTTGCTGGAGTGTGTTCAAGATGGAGCTCACATCCGCCTTCAACTGGGCTTTTGCTGGAGTGTGTTCAAGATGTGTTCAAGATGGAGCTCACATCCGCTTAGTCCAAGGTCTCCTTCACGAATGTTTTCCTTGCCTGGAGTCTGGAGTGAGTCTATACTGGCCTGTGCCGGCACTGGAATAGGGTTGGGGGGTTCATAATTTGCAGCCAGTTCATCATTGCTGACGATACAGTCCATGTCATCATCCTTCAGATGCTCCTGCATTTAAAAAAAAAGGGGGGGGGGGAACCCTAATCAGTGATAACTTCCTTGAAACAAGCTGGATGGGATTTTCAGTATTTTTGATTAATATCAACTACTAATTATAGTAAGCTCACTTTGAAATGTTATCAGTTTGAAGCAAGTGTCTGCATACAGTCTCCTGCTTCTGCATACCATTGGAAACTAGGTCTTGGGTATCTAAAGCAGGCCACCCAAAATACCACATTAATAATTAGTGGCCATTGTTGCAAATGTGGCCATACGTTTTCACCCTCTACATGCCACTATGACACAAAAACCTTGTTAGAGTCTTGATCCAAAACCCATTTAAATCAATGTAAATGCTTCCATTAACTACAGTGGGCTCTAGATCAGGTTCTAAATGACATTCATGAAACTTCATGAGCACTCTTTCTCAGTATACTTACTCCATATGCTCTTGGGCTAGTTAGTAGTCTGGCAATGGGATTACACCATGCAGGTAATGTTGTTGTAAGCGGTGGACCAGCATGAGTTAAAATGGGTTTCAGATATCTGTGAAATCTGTCAAGGAATATCTCCCAAAATATGTATGTTGATAGTAACAAGTTTCTCTATTACCACTGATTATTTTATAACAAAGCAGAAGATAATCATGCAGTTAAATGGGAACAGAGATTGCATGTGTTCAGCCACCCACCAAGCCACTCAGACATCATCCACTTTAGTGTCTACAAAGCCATTTGATGTTCAGGGCCTGTTAAATGTGGTACCATATCATCTTAGCAAGACACACCATGGAATACATGAGATGAGAGACTGGGAAGAGCCCCATGTTCAGCATTTTCAGCTAATGTGGTGATGTTGTGAAAATGTTTCCTAAGCAAGAGAATGTACAAACAATTTAAGAATCAGCTGCATGAGCCACTTTGCATAAAAAATCCAGTGCCAGGGAGTTTTCTGTGGTATTGAAATTGCACACTCAGCTTTTTATAAAATCAATGTCTCGTCACAGGGTAAATGTATTTAATCAAACATTAAGCTTATCTAGAGTTGGGGACTAAGCATAATTTGTTTTCTTTAATGCTTTATTTTCAGTATTCAACACAATCATTGTACACTTCATACAACAATGCTCCTTTATATAAAATTATGTAAATAAGATTGTAACAGGCATTTTCTATTGTATTGCTCCTGTCTTTCCAATCTTTTCATCCACAAGCGCTTTATTGAGATAAAAGAAAAACCTGTTCATCTTAAGCAATTATATTGTCCTCAGATCTGCCACTAAAGATTTTTCCAAGAGCACCTCAGGTTGACTTACCTCCTCTGCTACTTTTGCTCTCAGTGTAATTTCACTGTTTTATGGGAAGCCAGTTGTAGGCTATTTTCTCAGCTGAGGAAAATTTCCCTGTCTGGATTTCTGGCTATTTTCTTTTGTTAAAGCTTCTAGGAAAGAAAGGGAAAGGAAAATAAAAGTAACAGATGTAAAATTAATGTCCATGAGTTCTATAGCAGTATCATGGAAGTACTGAACAAACCAGTAACAGAGTGTTTAGGTGAACTCTTTCAGTACCTCAAATTCATTAGTTATTTTTTTAATGTTTATAGGGTGCTCCATACAGCACACAAAGCACAGGCAGTTTATATCCTTTATTTACAGGCTAAATAAAGCAGAGTTAGATTATTTTAAAGCCAGAATGAACCATTAGATCATCTAACCTTCTAACTTGTTAAACTAAAGCACATCTGCCAGGAAGGCACCTAATCTTGAGTTGAATTAATCAAGAGATGGAAAATCAAGACTGGAAGTTCAAAGAAAGGGATGTCTATGATTGTTTACAAAAAAAGGTAATCTTTCTTCTTGAGGACACCATGGATCGAGGCCTTTATAATGGATCACCTTAGCTTCCCAGAATAGGAATAGCATTTAACTGTCAACAGCATATCTTATTATTTCCTTCTATTGTGATAATTCCCAGAGGCCTGAGCCAAAGATCAAAGACAGACATCTATCAGAGATGGCCTAGATGGTGCTTGGTCCTCCCAAGAGGGCAGGGGACTCGACTTGATGATCTCTCAAGGTCCATTCCAGCTCTAATATTTTATATCAAGGCATCATTGTGCTAAGCAGTGTATTCACAGCGTGAAAAGATAGTCCTTACAACACAGAGATTACAGTTTAAATGAGCCAGCATTAATAGAATGTATACAGAATATCATTGTATCAGAAAACACTCCTACTAAGAGAAGGAATATTCATCCCTCATTCAATAAAACGAGATGCAATTGAATATACATTCCAGTAGTACCTTAAGCTGTCAGTACACTTCAGAGATTAACATTACTCATACATTTATAAACAGCCATCTAAACCAGATCTTTCAAACTCACTGCAAATGATGTGATCTTTGAATGCTAGGTAACATGCTGAGTTAGGGTGAAAAGCTAATGAAGAGTCACACTCAAAAGATTGAGGAAGTTTGATTATCAAAAGCTTATCTGGACCACTTTGATCTAAAACTCAGGATGAAAAAAACTCACATGAACAATTTTTCGTGTGAGAAATTCCTAATTTCAGTTTCAGTGGAGTTGAGCAAATTTGATTTAAACAAAACAAAGAAGCAGGCATTTTTGAAAATTTTCTTAAGTTTTGTAAAAGTCTAGTGCCCAGGAAATTCCGGTGAGGATGATCTAGGCAAACAGTCAGTGGGACTTGTGTGATTCTCAGCACTTTGGAAAACCAGACTGGTGCCTAGATATGAATTTGGAGGAGAATCCTAATTCTAGGTTTCTATATTTGAAAATATTGGTTCTGGTTAGTCACAAAAACTACCCGTCTCAGCAACAGCAGGAAAATAGTCATAAGAAGGGGCTGGTATTCTATTAATGTTCTGGGTGAGCCATAATTTTATTCCCTCCAACAGGAAGAAATAACGATAAAGATTCATCTATGTTGCCTCCTTGATTTTGATGGCTTCTTGGGTCAGTTACTCTCCCAAGACTGGACCAAATTTGTGGGCATTATATGTTGCTCCATTTTTCCACTGAGTAGCCAAATCCTTGAATTAATATTTCTAAATATATATGGGGAAAAGGTTAATTTTGTTTGGTACTGAGGATGTGCTAGGAAGGTTCCAACAGGACTTTTATATTTTTTCTGGCATTCATTCTGTATCTTCCATACTTCTACTTTGTGCCTTCATGAGATGTAGCTTAAAGTAGACACAATTTTTTCTGTATGCATTAGATACTTGTTTTGTAATAAACTATTAATCTCCCCTCTTCTTAGATGACTAATTATCATTCAGTCTGCTAAAATGCTTAACTTTTATTGGCCTGTTTTAATTTTTAAATAATCCCCTCTTTAAATGATAAAGTCCCTTCTTTATCGTTGACACAATTGGTTTATTGCTTTGCAGACATACTCATACTGTTCAGCACAGCAAGAGGGTAGAATTCTTATCCATGCACCACACTGCTGCTTCAAAGGCAAAGCAGACTTGTCTGCAACATTTCAAGAGTGCTTTACATGTGATGGCAACTGCTAGTATTTCCAGTCAAAGGGATATTAAATAAGTGTGTGTGTTTGCAGGTGGGGGGAGGGAAGAGATTTTGCACTCGATTAAAGTAAGCTTTTAAAAAATGCCACATTACTCCACCCCTTCCAAAACCTCTTTTCCCCCAAACAGTGTAAACTTCATAGACATTAGTAACCAGTCAGGTTTGTTCCACCCCAAAGCAAGAGAACATGCATGAGGTAAGGCAGCAAGGCCAGAGGGTATACACAATAGATAGAATCAAAACTGTTCAGCTGATGTTTTAAGTTATATTATACATCATAAGCTAGTTAACTTTCAACATTAATAATGGTCTTTTAATGTGGTTTAATGCATTTTCCTAGGCTTTTAAACCATACTGGAACAAAGTGCATCATGTGGCATGCAGACATCCCACAGGGTTCATCAGCAGAGTTGGGAGCTTTAGATTCACTGCAAGACCTCTGCCACTAAAGCTAACTGCAGGAGTGGTCATTTATGTGGGAATGCTTTCTAGTGAGTATAGCCTCTTCTGTTTTGTTCCCTTCAACTTTGTCTCTTCCGTGTCACTGTTTCCCTCTCCCAGTCCCATTATCTTAGTTGACTGCAGTTCCACTCTCAGTCCTGATCTCCATTCTAGTGCGCTAACTCACCCTGGTCTGGAGAACCCTAGAAAGGCCTTCTGAGCACCCTGTGGCTCTAGGCCAGAGCATTGTCACTAGTTCTCTGGGGATAGGCCATGCATCGTCTGGAAACTCTGATTTTGAAATAATTTCATTTTGAATCGGGACAGAAAATCAAAATTTACAATTCTTCGTGAAACAAGAATGTCATAGTAAAACATTTTGATTACTTCCCATAAAGTTTGATAACTTTAATCAAATCTTTCAAATTAGCATTTTCCAACGGATGACTGTTCCAGCCAAATTATTAGTCATCTCTACCGCTAAGAGTAGAAAGAGATTCTTCTTCCTTTAGCAGGACGATCTGAGTTCTGTCATCAGGAAGTTCTGAGAAGCCATGTTGTGTAGCTTAGGAACATCTTGGATGCTCTTGTTTATTGTGCGATTGACTGTAGACGTTGGGAAGTAATTTATATTTTTCCTACAACAGCAAAATCCTTTGACCTAAACAAGGTTGTCACAGTTCTTAAATACCTGTTGGACAGCTCCCTTTGGGCCTCTAGAAATACAGGCCCACATTAGGTCAGAGTGACTATGGCTTTACATTGAATTTGGATTTTAGCATGAGTGATAGGCACACAATCTGCGATTAAAATAATGAAATTATGAGAAAGCAAAGTTGCTTGTGCTTGTTGTCATGGCTCCTTCCCCACTCTGGCATGATAAATGCAGAAGTGGGGGCCAGCAAGTGTACCCCAAAGCCTTATCTTTGGTATAAAACTTCCCCCAAAATCTTAAAAACCTAGATCTTGGGAATAAAACTTCCGCTGCCACCACCCAAATGTTGCTAAAGAAACCAAGGGAAAGATCATTTGGGAAATCTCACCCCTAAAATAAAATCAAGGCACACAATTAACCACTGCCAGGTTAATAAAAGAAATGAAAGAACTTTTATTATTACAACAATATTCCTGTTGCAACCATAATGACTAGATAGGGAGGTAACAAAATATACTCATGGAGAAACTCCATGGGTCTAGAACTTAGTTACAAAGAAAAGCCAAAACATCTTTTAAGCAGTGCCAGATGTCAGATCCCATACCCAATCCTTAAAACAATAAAACCTAACAAAACTACCTAAACTTTACCCTACTTACAGAAAATGAAGAATGGTGTCTTGGAGAGAGAGAGAGACATGCTTGTCCCTCTCTGTAGCTGCAGAGAACTCTCCGAGAGACAAAAGGGAGAAAAGAAAAAAAACCCAAATTCCTTTGTCCCAGTTTGAAAAGTCCCACCTACATTCCTATTGGTCACTCCACCTGGCTAGGTGTAGTTAACCTCTTAATCCCCACGCTGCTGGCTAACCCTCATAATCATGACACTTGTATTGGTT